TGTGGGTGGATTGTGTTGCCGGACTTGCCGGCTAGATGGTAATCGGAGTGGGAACAAGCAGCCACCAGTTTGGCCTTAATTAAGCAATGGCCTGGCCTGAATCCATATGCTGACTGATGGCCTTTATAATAAATTCACATATGCACACACATCCTCGTACTCGTGTATATTTATGGCAAATTAAAGAAACCGCACGTAAGAGCCGCTTCAATCTGACTCGTCCTTGCTCCATTTATTAACGCACGGGTTTGCCAGTCGGTCCCCTTGTCACTGATTTATCACAAGTGGCTGCTGTAACAATTCAATAACTTTTCGGCCAAAAAAAGCGACAGAGAACTGAGAATCCTAAAGAGCAACGAGCAGAGTAAAAGACACACTCAGTGACGGAGAGAGAGGGAGAGCGAGAGAGGGAGAGTTTTTCCAAAATGTATTACGGTCATAAACTGCAGCAGCATCGGCAGGCAACACACACGACTACAGCGAACAACAAGTTTACACACTCCCACACCCACAGTCCACAGTCCGTGTGTGGCAGCTGTTTTTTTTTTTTTTTTTCGGGGCTGTTACCAATTGACCGACTGACTGATGACGCGGCTTGGCTCTCAGTGAGCAACCCACCCACACTCTTGACGCTTTTCGTTGGCTGATATTTGCATATGGATTTGGGGGGTATATAAAAGGGATATGGTTACGTCGTCATAAACAAACAGATGGGACAGAAGTGACAGAACTCACCTTGGCATACAACACATAAATTGTAAGCTATGTGAGTGATTTCCATGATCTCCTTAAGTGTCCCCCCCATTCAATTCACTTATGGTAATCAAACTTAAACTAAATCTGCATGAGTCTATTGATTTTTATTTTATATTTCTCTTTTTTTTATTCAGAATTATGTACACATAATAATACTCGAGTTATATGATAAATCATTGTTCATCATTAGTAATTTGATTATTTCTAGCCGCTCTTGAGTGACATTTACCACTCAATCATTGACAGATTACCCTGCCAAAGCTGTTGCCTGCAGTCAATTGAATTGCCCCAAAACCGTTTGATTGATTTGACGATTAATTGTTTGACCTGCTAAAGGAAATAAGCCCCGAAACCCAAAGCACCATACGACACCACAACACACCACACCACATCCATCCCAACCCATTCCGACTGCAGCCACATGCCAGACCACATTTAGTTGTTGCAACTAGCGCAGAGGCCACACAGTGCGCAGCGGCCATAAACAGTCTATTAACACCTAGAGTGCCGTACAACTGGCGCATTATATGTAGTAGGAGCACTCCCACCTCGCCCACTTACCCTCCGCCAACAGTATTCAGAGTGCAGCACCAAAACTATCTCATTCCATTCCGCCATCCAATTGCAATTTGCTGCTGCAGCACTCGAAAGTGCCAAATTACACATGGATAGAGCAGGTGGAGAGGTCGAGCGGCGGGGGAGGTTTAAAGGGGTTGGGGAAAATTCATGCATACAGGAGAGGGAATTATATAGCTGGACATAATATATGAAACATTATGATGCCGCTACTACTCGACACGACAGCAGCAACAACAGCAGCAGCAGCAGCGGCAGCGGCAGCAGGAAAACTTTCGCCGACATAAAACAATAAAAGTTTTTCGCTTATTGCCCACTTGTCCTTGAGTGGTTTTGCATGAAGTCCCCGGCCCAATATCACCATGGAGCCTCTGAATCTGCTGGCAGTCCTCCAGTCCTCCTCTTCGTTTCTTAGTGCTGTGAAACTTTTCGTCAATAAAGTATATGTAGCATATTTTCCAGTGTCCATTAGACCTGCCTGAGGGCTGATTGCTGAGAGGAAGGTGCAGGTGCTGGATTGGTGGCCTTATGTATTGATTTTCCATCAGCGTGCGCTCAACTGTTTAACTATGTGCTAATATTTATTAAAGAATATGGCAACGTAATGCCGCCACACGTAACGTAATGGGACATAACAGAATAAGGGGCTCTAAATTGTGGCAGAAACGGGGGCATCTATGTCTATGTGGGCGCATCTACATCATGTTAACCAAGTAAGTGTGTGTGTAATGTGCGGCATGGATTGGCATTCACTATGCCTCCCACTGGGCTGGCCTACATGTCGTATGATTAATCCCATTTCATTATGTTATCGCTTATGCCACATCTTCTAGGCAGCTCTCGCTCTCACCCTCTCTCTCGCGCACTGTGTGCTGGCAGCGCTTATTGCTTTGTCCAGGCATGAAAAATGGTTCTTGGCTTTGTTTTGCAAGCATTTAGTTGTGGCCCAGCCAGGACCTGCTTCACTCACAGTCTCACTTTCACTTACCCATAATTTATTGCCTACATTTCGGTCAAGGTCCCAGCCAACACCCACCCAAACTCTGACCATTAAAACAACTCAATTAACAGTTGACATAATATGCTTTAGTTTTTTCTTTTAGTTTTATTCTTTTTCAGTTTTTCAGTTTTTTTTTTGGTTTCTTTCCTGGTTTTGCATTCATTCGTTCGTTTTTTTGCACATTTTAAATTCTTACACTTTTAAAAGATTTATTTTTAGGTTTTTCTTCGTTTTCGTTATTCCGTTTATCGTATTTGCTCATATTTAATTGAAAGTTACTTTCAAATTTTACGTTTGTTTAGCTTTAATAACATTGTTAATTCAAGTTTGGTTTTTTTTTTCGTGTGTTAAATAAACTATTTTTTTTTCTTTTATTTATATGTATATATATATATATAATTATACTTTTTATATAATAGTTTTTATAAATACACATTTACATATACAATATTTACTTCAGTTTTATGCGTTCTATTAGTTTTCTTCTTTTCTATTTTCGTTATATGTTTTTCCTTATTTTTTTTTTTTTTGGTTTGCTTAGAATTTAAGTATCTGAAGAATTTGTCACTTTTCCAAAGAGTCGAGGAAAATGGAAATATCCAGAGAGAAAGACCAGGGTGATGGGGAAAACACCTCAAAATATTCCGCATTGTGTGAGCGTGTGTGTGTGTGTTTGATTGTAGATAATCAACTGTTTGACAGAATTTTTGCAATAAATATCGAATGGCCATAAAACGCCTCATCAAACACAATGGGAATTCTAATTTGAATTCGGTTTATTTTTTCTTTTCTTCTGAATAGAATTTATACAGCATTTGCTCGCTTGCAATTTCATCTGAATAGATATTGAATGTGTATTTGCTTTGTCGATATTTTACATGGTAATTGGAAAAAAGCTTATGGAAAATACATATGTCTGTTGGGCTGGTTTTTGGTTTCGGTTTTTTTTTTTTTTTTTTGGTTTCGATTGGATGCCTCTGATTACTCTTGCTGGATTTCAATAGCTTTTGGTTTTCGGTTTCTGTTTTATTTTATATTTTATTTACTGCTTAGCTTGATTAATGAAACTTTTCCTTTTTTTCTTTCGTTTTTCACTTTAATTTCTATCAATAGTTTTTAGCTTTTTATCTGTAACTCTTTGTTAATGTGCTTTGCATACGCCTAACACTGAAATGGATTTTATTTCGTTTACGCCTATTTGATTTTTGATTAGCTTTATGTGTGCTCGATGGCAAAGTTTCGTGGGATGATAGAAACTAGGCGGACAAAAGCGCAGAATTTTAGAAGTACACAAACTAAGATGACGAAAGGAAAATGGTAACTGAAAAACAATCCTTTGAAATGGGAAAACACTCGAAAAGCATTCGGAAAAATGAAAGGAAATTCCAGTTGGAAGTTAGCTTGAAAATACCATTTACTCATAGCCTTTTTGTTTGTCTTTGTATATATTTTAACGTTTTTTCTTTTCGGTTTAAGAGGGTTTTATATTTAACACTTGTCTAATTTTCGCATTTATTAACAACAAATAAATTTATGAAATGTGCAACAATTTTTCCATCTATGCCGATTGTATCCTATACTCAAACCGTTCTCTTACCTGTCTGCTCCTCTGCACTTTGGTTAATACGCGTACTTAATTTACGTTTACGTTATTCAATTTTTACATTACACAAAACCGAATAGAACTGAATAGAACTTAGTCGAGGGTTACTCTTTATGTATGTCATGACTTAGTCTCTAACCATTCAGATGCAGCCAAAAAAGATAGAAAAACTCTCCTCTCTTTTCGCCATTAACTTGTAGCTAAATTTCTCCCCCTCTCTAGACTCGAGTTTCCTTTTATATTTTACAGTTTTTTCCACTTGTATTTCTAGTTTATTTTTATTTTTTTTTTTTGGTTTTCTTTATTTGCTGTACGTGAAGTTGAATCGTGTTTCAGTTTTTCCGTTTTGCTAATTTCCCTTTTGGTTGAACATTTATCTGTCTATTAGAACTTGACTAAATGCAAATGAGAGTTTGAGGAAACAGTCACAAAATGGCAGTCGAGAAGCGTTTACAGTGGGGAAAATCGTTTTTTTTTCTTTTTAGTTCTGCATTTTTTGGAGCAGAGGGGTTTTTCATTTTTTTTGTTGGATTCGTTCTATAAAAGTTTCAAAGTTGTGGAAAGAAAATGATCATCAATTGAAAAAGCAACTCTAGGTATGCTATGCAGCCTATTTACACAATTTCCAATCAAGGGTTAAGTTAACCAAAAACGTAGACAGCTTCATTGTATGATACAAAGTCGTACATAAAAAAAAGGCGACAACTTGGCTTGATTTTCGTATTATCATATTTTGTGCTAAATTATGTATTACGTATACGTCGCTGATTCATAGAAAAAACCCAATAGCCATTAGATTTATGTATATTCATATAGATACTTTATAGTTATTATAGTTACAGTGTGTCTAGGGTGTAGAGCTGCTTGCTGGCTTAGGTTGCGGGTCCAGGGTCCATCGCTCACCTTATGTCCGCCTCAAAGACCTGCCTAAACGTGTCCGTCTCCAGAGCCTTCCTTGATTGTAGTCTCAGTTCATGTTGTGGCAGTTGCTGGTGCTGGTGCTGCTCCTCCTGCGGTTGCCACCAGCGCCAGGGTCTGCGCCCCTGCCAATGCCAGCAGCAGCAGCAGCAGAGACTCAAAATGCACTCGAGAAGCTGTCGCATGCCACCATTTCCATGCCCACAGCCGGACACGGTTCGGACACGCTTTGGCCGACGGGAGGCGCGACGAGCTGCCGCAGCGAGGAGCGTGTGGAGCGTCCGACAAGCGCCCAGGTGCAGAAGCACACACACAGGTACACACAGAGATATCGAGTGAGCGAGTGGCGAGGAAGCGCTGGTGCCGCGTGCTGCATTGCTGCTGGGAACTCCCCTGGAAACGGAATGAGAAACACCTGTTTAATTTACATCTTTATTGCTGCTCTCATACTCAGACATTGGGCGAACTAAAAGCGTTTAACAAACGAGAAGTGTGTGCGGGTATAAGTGTGTATAGAGTATGGAGTGGGTGTCCTTGTAAACGTGGAATATTCATTAATATTAAAACATCACATTCGCATGTATATACCATATATGTTTAATCCCCTTGAACACTAACCGGATTACCAGCACTCACACAGAGAGAGCGACTTTCCTTGTGGCAGGGCGACCCGAAAAGCTGTCAAACAATCAAACGGCACAGATAAACAGAAAACAATGCCAAGATTGTCATACAATATAAGTTGAACCAAAACACCAGAGCGACAGTACCAACAAGCCCACAAAACAAACTAACAAAAAGGATCCTCCGTTACAGCCAACCACTTCTGTCAATGAAGCCGTTGACTGTTTACAACTTACCAACAGCCACAGCCAGGGAGCGGCGAGACAACTGCAGCTGGGGCACACGACGCGCGAGGCCAGCATGGTGGTGGTGGGGGGGACTCGTAGTACACGGGTATTGAAAGGCAACTACGCTCCGGTGCAAAGTAACGTAAACAAGGCTTACCAGTGTCCGACTTCCTTTTGTACTAAAGAATGCACAACCATCTCCATTTTGCATGTACATCGTACATATACATATAATCCCCATAACGAGAAGTGCTCTCATATTCCGAAATGTTTTGTATAATTTTTACAAATATTTTCACAATTTAAATATTTATTCTGCTTTTTAAATTTCTAGCATTTGGTAGTTTCTTGATTTGTTATTTTAAATAACGCGTTTCTCTATAGAAGAATGGATTTCTGGCGTATATTTTTTGGCATACCGAGATGAAACTTTTGGAGACTTGGAAAATATTTTTTAGACATGGAAACAAACCATTATTATCGGCTAAATATTAAATTCTGAAACAAGAATTCGCCGCTACGAGTATATCTCAATTTTGTAACTGAATATTGACTTAAAAATACGTAATAATAGTTTTATTTACCTAACTTGATTAATTAATTAAATTTATTTTTAATTTAAAATGTTCCTGTAATTGTTCTACATTAAATTTCGTATCCATTAGAGCTCAGCAGCACCTTTTGTGGGATACATTGCAGCTGTCAGGGATCGAAATAAAAGTCTCGAATGGCACTTTAAGTCCACTATCCTTTAGGGTCGCAACTGAAAGCGAACCCGACAAAGCTCCTGACCCCATTGATGTCGATGTCGATGTCGTTGCTGATGCGGCAAGCCAAACAAAAACACAATTCCCGGGCTTCACATTGTTCCCATGTCTGTCTACCTTTTTCTTTCACACACTCTCTCTCTCTCTCTCTGTCTCCCACTCTCACTCCCTCTGTTTGCATGGGCAAAAGCAGGTAACAATAAACAATAAAAAGCAAGGTAATGCTAAAAGTGAAGCAAAAGAAATGGGGAGTAGAGTCGTGAACAACTCTCTAGTAGCAAAAGGGGGAGCTTCATGGGGAAAAGTGCCAGTGAAAAAGTTTTGCAACTGCAACACGATGACAAAACAAGAACAGCAGAGGGAGCAGAAAGGGTGAGCCCGAGGACTGAAACTTTGCATACCCTTTGCCTAACTAGAATGTGTCTTGAGTTAGATTTTAATATTTAATATTAATATTTTGATACAACTTATTTGCAAACTGCTGCAGACAAGGCAATTAAATTAATAATTAAAAATATGCACAAAGGCAGACATACAGACAAGGGCTTTGAGGTCACAGATGCGTTGCAAACATCTGTTCAAAATCATAATACCCTCCTTGGCAAGGATATACTATGCATAATAACAGCAAACAACAATGCTGACGGCCTTATAATAATAATAATAATAATACTAACAAACAAAACAAACTGTAGCGGCAAAGAACAATGGCGAAAGTAGCAGAACGAACAGAACAGAACAGAACAGGACTACCAGAAACATCAGAGATCTGAACAGAACTGAACTGAACTGAACAAGAGACAAAACATAATAATAATCAGAAACAAGTGTGCCAAAGCAGTTAACGGAAGCAACGCGCATTGCATGCACAATATGGCGCCAGGGATGAGTGCCCCTCATGCTCCTACAACTAAAGGTGGGAGGTCTGTTTGGGTTTGTGTTTGTGTGTGGGAGTGTGTTCTCTGGCGTCTTTTCCGAGCAAAAGACAACACCGTGTGACATTATCTAGCAGACACGGTTGCTGCGACAACGACGACAACTTGACATTAGTGAAAGTCGCACAGGAAGTGGAAGTGAGCCAAACTGTGCTGTGCCGTGCCGTGCCTGGCCTTGCTCTGCTGTGGGTGCTCTGTTCTCCCACGTCCTAGACAGTCACCAAGGGACGGCGAGTGTGGCACATGTGCGGTGGGGCGTTGGGGCAGGGGGGTGTGTAACATAAACATAATTTTCATGTGGCACGCGTGCCAGATACTCGTACTGCACATGTGGGGGGGCCAGGACCCCAAAACTTTGGCCTGGGAGTTGAGTCGATTTAAATACTCTTTTTGTTTGTTCTGGCTACAAAGAAGCAAAGCCAAAGCAGACTTAAATCTTTTTAGTTTTATAAAAGTAAAACAAACAAAAAAGTTTTCAAGAAAGCGATAAACAATCTATGAAGGGTGAGGAAGGGTGTTCCCCCAAACATCCAATTATTTTATGCAATTAGGGATTATGGTAAAGCATCAGTGTCAAATAATTATCTTTGCATAACAGAACTTAAAGGGTAGAAGACTGAATTAAAAAATATATAAATATTATATTTTATAGCCATTCAATGTACTTATTGTTAACCTATCCCTGTTCTGTTGCCACATCTTACTCGAAGCTATGACTACCTCAATCGCATATCATTTCAAATACCTCGAAATAGTTCGCATACTTCACAGAAGAGTGTGGCCAAAAGTATACCCCCACTGGCTACGTTTGCTCAGCAAATGATGATGGCAGGCGGAGTGGTTTCCTGGCTATGATAAACAGTTGTGGGTAGGGGGGAGGGGTGCATAATGATTATACCGCTGGTTGGGGGCAACGGGAGAGAGTGGCAGCGGGAAACTGTCTTTCCATTTCGTATAATTTTCACGTGCCACTTTTAGCAGTTTTCACTTAGCTGAGCTCATCTGGTTTTCGTTGAATATTCGTGGAAATATTGAAATAGACGCCGCCACTTGCACACTCCAGCCAGCATCCCCATTCGAACCCCAAGATGGGGTTCTATCCACTAATCAATATTTGTTCATTGGTTCCGCAATCGATTCCAGCTCGAGGTTGGCCAACACGCTCCCCTAACTGCCTTTGTTGCTGTTTTCACTTAGCCTCCTGTCTCACTTTAAACAACACTTTGTTGGCTAGTTATTGTCACCTCTCGTGCTTACTTACTCTTCACTATCTTCTTGCCCATTTCGCCCACTATCTCTGGTGTCTATTATCTTTCGTTATTTTTTTTTTTTTGCTGGCCTGGTTCTGCTTTTGTGTCACTTCTTGGGCTGCCCCGTGGAGCTTCAACAGCTGCATTTTCTATGGCTGCCTTCGGGCAGATTTCCACCATTGATATGCTGACTCAGGCTTGGGCGAAGGCATTAGCTGGTCTAAGGGGATTGGGATCTATTTTCTAGGTCTTAAACTCAAATCCTCTGGCATCTTTCAGTCTTTAGTTGCTGGTGTGGGAATGGCAAAGTAGTTCTCAGTATGGTATACATTTCTTTGCTGGTTATTTTACCTATTTTAAGCAAGCATCGAGGGCTTAATGGGCATCCACATGTATGTATGTAAATGGTTTACAAATAACTATAATTTTTTCATCAAATAACCTCACACTCATCCGCATCTTCACTCCATAGATTGAAGCTCTCTTGGCTTAGCTTAATTGTCTCTTCAGCTCTACTTCAGCTACTCTTTAGCACAAAGGCCTTGAAGTATTCTTTGTTACAAAATCACACTTCAGAAAATCAGTTTATTATAGTTTCGTCAAAGGAAGGGGGCTGGCTGGTGGTGCTTTACCCAAAATTAAAGTAAGTTAAAGTACTTAACCCAAAAAATATATATTTATAAGACTTTAAGTAAACTAAGTAAATGTTTTCATTGCTGATGGAAAGGCTGCTAAGCTTAGAATCTATAAAATAAATGTAGTAAAAGTTTCCAGAGTAAAGTTACAAAATATTTTGTGGATTGCAATGTTAAGGGTACAATTTTAAACGAAACGATTTTATGTAATTTGGAATTTGGCAACCCTTTATATTATTTATATTATATTATATATTTATATTATTTGTATAAATATATACAATGCTGGAAAAATAAATGGATTTCCGATGTTGGAGATATGATAAAAATGAAAACCAAAATAAAAAGTTTTCCTCCCATCTAAATGTAAAATGGTTAATCATTCATTTATATTATGCAATAGAAGTATCTACAGGTAAGCAGTACATTTAATAAGTGCCCTGTACTAAAGTATGTTTGACAGTTAAGCCAATGCATAAAGTACTCAATGCATGAGTATAAAATCCCTAATCAAAATGTACGATTCATCTCCAGTAAGAAACTTTCCTGCTAAATAAGCATTAATTCCCTAGTGTACAAACGAAATTGGACTACCTTTGCATAGTTTATTACGGATTCTCTGTATTCTCCCTTCTATTCCCTTTGTAACTCTTTTTTTTTTCTCAGTTCAGTTTCGTTGCTGCGAGTGTCTGTGTCTATTCCGTGTCAGGCCAATGGTCCTGGTGTAACCCATTACCATTCTCATTGTCTCATTCACATTTTGGTGCATTTCCATTTTGGGATTTATCCCCTTTTATCCACCATTGTTTTACTCGGAAAATCCCCTGTGTACGGGTGGGTGGTCCTATTTTTTTGGCGGTGTTGTGTTGTCGTTTATTTTACTTACCATTGAGCACATGTACCGTGACGCTGCGGGGCTTTGCATTTGATGGATTACACTGATAATGCCCCGAGTCCGATGGACGCGCCGATTTAATCAAAAGAAATGATGTGGTCGTCTCGCCCTTATTGGTCACAACCGAAACGCCGCCGCGCGGCGAATCGTAGTTGATAATCTGCGGATGAGAATGGAAATCCAGCGACAAATTAGCAAAAGTCATAAAAGATATTCCACAATTTGTTTTTGGGGGCGAACTTGGCTTCCGTTTGCTGTGCCATAAACATTTTCTAAGCCATAAAACCGAGTCGAGATTACGCATACGCACTGTTGCACACTTGGCAAATTAAAATAAATAAAATAGAGTGAAGGGCAGGGAAGATAAGCAGACGGAGGAGGAGCAGCAAATATGCAAAGTAAGGGAAGAATGATTGCAAATAAAACCAAAGCAAAACAATAAAATTAAATCTGTTTTCGGGGGCACAGAGAAGTGTAAAGAAGAGAGAGCGAAAAAATCTCCGGCACTAATGGCAATATTTTTCCCTTTCTTCGTCGTCGTCCGCTCTATAGAAAAGGCATAACAATGGCGACGACCGTCAACCCTTGGAGTGCACAGCCCCTATTTCAGCCCAGCCCCGCTCTCCGGTGGCCATTCTGCACATTCCCAATACAATAAGCCAAAGGCCCAGCCGAAGCATGAAGTGTGAGGAATACACCTAAAGGGGGAAAACTAAAACGTGGCTCACACGGAACAAAACCAAAATCCATTTAAAACCCAAACCAAAAACCCTTTTTCTGGCCCCCATCCATCTGCCCGTCAGCCCGTCTGCTTCCTTTCCTAAATGGCATTACCCAATAAAAAAGAAAGAAAAAAAAAGACACCAAATAAGAGCGAAAGAAGAAAGTTTTGGCCCGGCAAAGCTAATTTAAAAGTTACTAAATTGAACACTAAAGGGTTCTCCTCTGTCAGACTTTCCCCGGGCTCGGGCCAAAGGGGGAAGCGATAATGACACCCCAAAGTAATTGCATGTCCTCCCAAGCAAAAAATCTGGCAAAGGTAAAGGACTTCAACTCACTGCATTATTATGATTCCAGAAGATATAGGCCGGCGGCTCCGGTGAGTTGAGTATGACACAGGTGAGATTTATAGTCGAGCCACTCTCTATATACAGGTCGGGTGCGCCGATTATTTCCGTCGAGGGTTCTGAAAGAAACAAAAATACAAGAAAATGTGAAACCAAACGTAAAATAAATCAGTAAAAATAATTAAACAAAGCGCAATTCCATTTGGAATCTACTGGCCGTGGAGTAAAATAACAATTAGCTGGAAGCAAGGCTTTACTTTCGTGCCACTTGAACTGAGAGGTGTGAGAATTTCAAAGGATTCTCGTTTGGCCTCATTGAAATATCCCCTTCCCGCGCTCTCTATATTGCGAGGGCTGAAATGATTTCCATGCTGTGGAAATGAAGCAATTAAAGTGCAAGCCAAAACGAAATGGAAATATTTTGCCTTTACACTCATTTCAACTGTTATTTAAACTCCACGATAATTAAATGGGAAAAGTTCCACATCGCTTTGAGCTGTCTTGAGAGGCTTGAAGCTGCTCCTACGGTTACTTAATTGTAATTTATACGAGTGCAAATATTAATTTATTTGATTTGTGAAATAATTGAGGGGCTTTGCTCTGGTAAAGAGTCAAGAATGAACCAAAAGGTTACCTTTTATCTTTATTCACTTTACTTACCAACGACATTCAGGTGAATGTAGTGACTCATGTGCGGTGTGGTCGATACCTGGCACTCGTAGATGCCAGAGTCGCGATGTTGCGGATATTTGATTTGCAGCATCCAGTCTTCGGTTTGCGGTTGATGTATGGCCCGAAAGCGCTGATCCGACGTATACGTGTAACGGCCCACAGTCAGCAGGTGTATGTCCCGATGTCGCACCCAGGACACCTGAAGCAACATCTACAGGCGGCACACAGAGAGAGGAGATAGAGAGAAGGAGAGTGAGTAAGAGAAATAACATTTCATTTGTTGTGCGTCGAGATTCTGGGCCAAACAGTTTAAAAAGTCAATTTCATACGCAACCGCTTGGGTCTAAGGGGCTTTGCGAGGGGTTGGCTGTAACGGTGACGGTAACGGTGGCAGCCTTTTGTGTCAGACACACGTGTAAAATGCAAATTTATTTTGAAATATTTTATATGATTTTTTTACCCAATTTTTCTTTATGCTTCGTGCTGTTGTTGGGCACAAAAAAAAACACAGCAAACTTTTGCATTAGAGAGTGTTGGGCAGGGGCGTCTTAGGCAGCTCACCCTCATCAGGCCGACAAATTGAAGGTGGAATACGAAGGCATACACAGACATACACTCACATAGGTATGTATGTGTGTATGTACTCGGCAACCACCTGCTGTTTAATGCTCAACTTTTACTTGTCCCTGCCACACAGCCCGAAAAAGAGGGGCGCAACATTTTTAAGTGACGCTGATTTAGGGGTTGCCTAAGCTCTGGGCAAGCCTTCAGGCTGTTGCTGAAAGGACTGGGTTGAGTGCACGCATGGAGAGAGAGAGAGGACACGCCCGACAGTGTTGCGTGTCATACGTCAGCTGTGAGCATTTTCAATTTCAATGACAACAGCTTAGTAACATCCTGCCTAACGATGAGCAACGACGGCGACGACTTTGGCCAAAGTTAATGGACAAGAAACTCAGCGACAGAAGGGTGCAGGATGAGCGATGGCTAAGGGCTGAGGGCTGAGGTGGGGGGCCAGCACCAGGTGTTAGTTAGCAGACACAAAGGTAAACTTTGGCAGCTGCTTAGGCAAAGTTGCATGTAATTAACACCAAAAGTGCCAAAGTACAAAGCGGAAGAAAGAGGAAGCCCCCCGCAAGACAGACTTCATCTTGGAAAAACCAAAAATTTTCCCCGCTCAACCGCAAAAACATTTTGTCACCCACCCAACCAACCATTCAGCCCATTTCCACTTTTTATGGCCATTATGCTTGTTTACAGTATCGTAAAATTGTCTCCCATATCAATATATTTCCATATTTTTTTTTTTTGGCTTGCCAAAACAAACATCAAAATCTGAAAAGATTTCGTTTTTTTACAGCTCAATTTGGCAGGCGAGAAAAGGGACTTATGTTCTTATATAATATTGGAAAACATATTTGGCTCGGCTGGCACCTAAAAGGTTATAAAATTTAGAAGGATTTCCAGTGTAGAGAAAACTAACGAAAGGTGGTGCGGAGTTTCTGCCACTGAAGTTTTTCATTGAGCTAAAAGAATGATGTTGATTCACTGTCAGTATATGACAGATATTCTTCGAGCCACGTGCTAGCATTGAATGAAAAAATTCAGTGGCAACAGAGCTCCAGCTACTCGTACATCTCCTTTAAAATCTCTCCCTGTCTTCCTACAGAATCATAAAGAAGAGCTCTGTACCAACAAAAACCTCTCTACCGAGCGAAGCGCAAATGAAAATCGTCATTAATAATGTAGAGACCATCAGCATCCGTTCGCTGTTTATCATTATAGACGGTGTGAAGGAAAGCACACACACACACATACACACAAGCGTAATCGTAAGACAGAAGGATTTTCTTTTATTTTTTGATTTTTTTCTTTGCTCGCATTTCTCGGCTCCGCTGCTCCTCGGCTCCTGGGCTCCTCCCACATCAGCTTAACGCTCACTCAGGTGCTGCCAAATCTCAGCAGCAATGATGTATTACTCCAGGTGGGGCACTGTGCGGTAAGAGGTATGAAAATACACGGGGTAAATTACGGAAGTGGGTGGCCTTGGGTGGCCTTGGGTGGGGTTGTGGCTCGCCGCAGCACAGAAAGCTAATTAGATTTTAAGCTGCCAACCCAAGCAAATGAATATATTTCATTTTACAGGTTACTTAATATCTTTTTTTTCTGCTGCTGTTGAGCTGCTGAGAGTGGGAGGAGAGTGAAATGAATATTTTGGTGAGCTGTCTGCCGGATATAATTTTCATGTTTTTACCCAAAAAAAAAACGCGAATAGAATATAGAAAGGTAGATTAGAATTTAAGGATAAGGGTTGCAAAGTTGGGCGAAAAGTCAGAAGACTGCAAAAGCAAACAAATCCCCATAAACTAAAGATCTACCCATAGCCTTTTGCCACTCCTTGATCTCTCGCCTTTGATTCTGTCGCCTTCGCGCCTTGCTATTTCAAAGTTCGTATCAGGCATCTTAATATATGTAAAATCTTTGTAAACTCTGAACAATTTAAACAATTTTCTATTAATTAACCCATCCCATTGGGATGAAGAGAGCGAGAGATCGATGAAATTATCCCATATTAACTCATCTAATGAAGTTATAGCAACGCGCCCGCCTGCCTGCCTTACCGGCCTCACCTGCCCCACATGCTCATGCGAAAACTTTTACTTGGTCCTACCTCAAGGTGGAAATTCCTGCAGCACCCGCCCCCATGCATCTGTTTTCGTTCTTCACCCTTTCCCCATTTTCTACAATTTAATAATCACGCAAATTAGTTTTCGAAACCGCAACTCAAACAGGCCGAAACCCAAAGCTAATCACAGCCTGCCAGCGCTGGGAGCATGGAGAGTAGCAGGCTCTGGCATGTCCTGGCATGTCCTGGCGGGACATGTAACATATTATTATCGGAAAAGCGGGCAGAGCCCTTCTCCGGCTCAGGCCGACGCCGCCGGAAGTGACGGAAGCCGAATGACTACGACCACCGCCCACCGCCCAACGCCCAGCTCTACGGCCGAACTCCACCCAAAATGGAGAAACCCAAAACAAAACGAAAGCATTTTCAGGGCATTTTCAGGGAATTTTCGCCTCATTTGAATAGTTTTTCCTTATGCGGCGGCTCTCAGGTGGATGAAGCTCCCGGGCCGGAAGTGCTGCGGTGTTGCGGTGGGTCCTGGCTAGATTGTGTGTGTGTTTGTGAAATGTTTGCGGCATTTCCTTCCGCACACGACGAAAGTTGAATAAAGTAAAATCTGTTTCCTGTTTGGGTATAATTAATCATTTTGTTCTTTGGCAAGCGGAACAATTAGCCACCAACCATGCACTGCCCCAGCCCCCAGCCCCCTGCCAGCAGCCCACTAGGCCAGCATGTGGGCGCAGTCAACGTGCTAATTAGTCGCCTACCAGCCCAAAAAAAAGAGAGAATACTCATACTCATACAGACTTATACAGGCCCCTTTACAAATAGCATTTTGATGGCACTGGCAAAGGAATTACACCATAATTACAATATAAAACGTCAGATGATGCCCACAAATTACTTCGCCTGAAAAATAGATATGTATGCTACACGCTACATACTTAGCACCAAGAAAAATGGGATTACATTTAAAAGTACAAGTACACTGGCACTGAAAAAAAGTACTTCTTAGCACACAGATATGTAGATTTTTATTCGGTGGGGCAGCTAGAGGTTTAGAGGTATAAATATCTCTACTAAATGTTAAAATTGCAACTATGAAAATATAAACTCTAATTTCCAGTAATTTATGCACATAATTAAATTAAATTAAATTTAATCTGTTTCTCTTGCTTACCGTTTTGTTGCCCAGATTCTTGACGCGACAATTCAAATAGGCCGTTTTGCCCAGCAGGGCTGTGACATTCTTGGAGACGGCCTTGTCGAAGTAGGGTCCCGCATTGCGTGCCTCCTCCATCAGGTCGATGCTGTTGCGATGGATGCCGGATGTTGCGGATGAGGCTCCCGATTGTGAGGCAATTGTGTTGCTGCTGCTGCTGCTGCTGGCCTTGTGCAAGCTACTGCTAGGAATGCCAGTGATGGTCGTAGAGCCGGAGCCAGATCCAGAGCTAGAGCTGGAGCTGGCACCTCTGCTGGCATCGGTTGTCATTGAGCCGGACAACTCGGAGGCTGGCGATAGGCCTGCGCCTGCTCCTGCTCCTGCTCCTGCTCCTGCACCAGCTGCATGGCCATTTTTGTTATTTCCGTTGGCATTGTTGCCATTGCTGCTCATACTTCCGCTTCCGGCGACACCATTGGGACCTCCTGGCGACTGAGAGCCCTCTCCTGCTCCAGCTGCTCCAGCTGCTCCACCATTGGGAATGGCATTATTACTGCTGCTCATATCCTTCGATTTGTATGAGTCACGCTGTGCGGCGAATACTGCAATGGGAGGGAGGGACAGGAAGCAGATTTAGAAAATGTTTTCAATTTCGGTTCAGAGGGAGAGCTGCCCCCCTCCGTAAAGTGTGCCACGAAGTCCTTCAATCGATTCTATGCAGCAAAAGTTGATCCCCTTACGCAAAATCCGAATTGGAAACCTTGTAACTCGTTTTGGCCAAACTTTTAACAGCACCCACCCCCTCCCAAAACATGACTCCACCTTTGGCCACCTTTTGTGGCAACCATTTAGGTAATTAGCGAATTACGCACACACACACATACACAGGAGCACAACTTTTTGTTATGGTTGAGGGCTGAAAGAAAAGTTTTTTTGGTGCGGAGGTAAATCTAACTTTTTGTTCTGTTCTCCCTCTATTTTTTTCCTCTTTTTTTGGGGAGTTTGTTTGCAATTTTTCGTTTATCAAATTTTCATGTTTTTCCCGCTTACATGTGGAAGTTGCCCTCTGGTCTGGGGTGTGTTACATGCACAGTTGTTGTTGTTGTTGTCGTAGTTACGAGCAATTTTTATCCGGCATTTATCCATCACTTAGCTACGAGGACGCCACAGCGTCTGGGCTCAAAAACTAAGCTCCTCTCGCTCCATACTACAGCCAGAAATACACAAGCGAACACACAGCACCCACCCACCCATACATATGTCTGTCTTTATATGGCTGTATATGTTTATATGTATAGGTATATCTCGGGGCACTTGATACGCTTATTACGTCGCAGCAAACGTCTTTTTATGACACTCTCTCTCTCCATCTCTTTCCCTGTAGAGAGCTCTCTGTCTGGCTACTGGCAATTTTTATAGAGCCAAAGCCCAAGTGAAGCCATGGCTAACCAGCGACTGGCTAGCGACTTTATTAGATTAAACATGTTGTGCACGTCGCTTTGAGCAGATATCAACCAGAGTGCCAGAGCAAGTGATGCCACCCAGTGACGCACTCACTGCGATTGGGGGGGCAGGGCAGAATCACTGACAGCTGAAGATGTGATTTTGGTTGGTAGTTTTAGCAATTTTTTAAATGGTAAAAATATATTTTATTTATTCCAATTGGGAGCTTGAAATTCTCACAGTATTTTATTCGTTAATGCTTGAAACTGTGAGGCTGAGAAGGTTGGATGAATGGATCTCTCGGAAAAAAAACACATACGGAATTCTGAACTTTTATTACCTTGGTTTATGTCACATTTCAGCCAAGCAAAATCCTGCCAAAGCAAATCTGTTACTTCTGCTCACAAAATGTGAGATTTTTCTCATCTCTAGCACATGTTATCTGTCTCTCTCTCTCTCTCTCTCTGGTGTCTATTCCCCTCACACATTCTCTCTCTCTCAATCCGGAATCTCCCTCTTGGTTTACTGCCCAAACTATTAGCTGAGCACCAGCTTTGGCCCCGTTGGCCATGTTACAACCAGATAAGTCGCATATCCTTCATCATCTTGCTCTGCTCGAGCTCCCTCCGATGCTAGTACCCACCCCATTTCCCTTTCCCACTCACACTCACACTCCCACCCACCCCACAATTTCCATTCCCTTTCCCCACTGGTATTTAAGCAAAATGCTATTGACAGGCCAAACGTTGCGAGCGCCTCCGTCTGCAGTCGGGCTGGGCTGCTGGATATTGGATGCTGGCTACTGAATGCTGGCTGCTACTTTCTCCCTTCAATTGGCGAGACCCAAACAATGTGGCTAATAACTCGACTCCATCTTCGCACAAGAATAAGGAGAGGTCGTCGCTGGGTGCGCCCCAAAATGATAATAAATAAAACGCCTCTGGCTAGAAATTAAAATAAATTGACTGCCTGGGACAAAAGACCGCAACGTCAACTGTTGGCTGTTTTGGCTGTTTGGCTGCCAAACATAAATTAGACCACGCAACGAGAAATATTTATTTTTTCTGCTCTGTTCTGTTCTGTTTTGTTTTGTATTTTTGGCCTTAAAAGCGCCCTGCAGAAATCGCAAAGTCATGTACCAGAGGTCGCAGCACCGCAGTCGGAGGGCGAGGGAGAGAGAGAGGGAGAGTGAGTCGTTTGCCGTGTCCGTGTTCATGTCTCGTGTCCTGGTCTCAACGTCAGCAACTTGAACACAAGCACACCGCAGGGCATGTTCCTGTTGCTCATCTCATCTCATCTCAGCCTCGCCTCCGCCTCCGTCTCCCTCTAAGTCGCCATCACCGTCTTTGACTTGTTCTTGTTCTTGTCCTGAGTCGGAGTACTGTCCTGGCTCTTAAGTCCTGTGGTTTGCTGGCATTTCTTACGCCCGCACAGTTATTATTAACATTCCAGTCGTGGTCCTTGTCTGTTGTTGTTGTTGCTGTTGTCAGAAACATTTGAAATGTCAAAACTTTTAACTCCGAATGTGTGCGTGTGCGTGTGTGTGTGTGTACGTGTCTCTCTTCTGAGGTGAAACTTCTTTTCCGGTAATAACAAACCACAACAGCAACAAATATATGAACGCAGTTAAGTTTAAATTTTTAAATTCACTTAAAAAATTAAAACTCATCTGCTACTCCCACTCGTAGCCATTGCATTCTATTGCCCGTGACAGTCACCAGTCACAACGAACTTTATACTTAAATATTTAAAGGTTTCCATTTGTCAGTTAGCCCTGGGGGGCCATGGTGATGCTCCCACTCCCAACTACAACTCCAACTCCGATTCAGTCTTGGTATCTCGCAATGAGAGGCATCAAATGGAACATTCCTTGGGACTATGCTTTTCTTTGGTTCCTTTTGTTTTTCTTTCATTTGAAAGGTGATTTTTTTCTTCGAAAATATATTAAAAATTTCTTGGAATTTGGCAACCGTATTCGAGCAGGAAATTAATACTGTTCGAGGAGCCACCTCAGAGTGCCTTCGAGTTATCTTGGTATCTTGAATGACCGCAAAATGTAAGTTTAAATTATTTAGCGGTAAGTTTGTTGAACTTGAAAATGAAATTAAATATCGTCTGGGTAGCCTTCAACTCTCACAGGAAATCGCAAAAATAAAAGCTACACGTCTAGTTTCTGTATATATAAATAATAAATAAATAATAATAATATGTATAAATAATAAACAATTTTTTAACTGTGTAGAATACGGTTACTTAATGCATTAATAGGGATTATATTCTGATTAAATGACAATCGTCTGTATCTGTTTAGTGTTGATGATAAGTAATAATAGTAATGACCTCACGTGAATACCTAATGTACTCATTAATTAGATAATCAGATTATCATGAACAACTGGAATTGATTTAGCGTTCAGAAATTTTGGTGATTTTATTTGAATATACAAATGGATGGGAGGAAGCCAGAACTGGCAATCGCATGTTCTTTATCTGTGGATCTAGTGCACTATGCCCGCGACTGCCCGATTCATTAAGGCCTAATGATGATTTACCTCTTTCCCGCTCCGGCTGCACCTCCTGACCCGGCTGGGGCAACGATTTGGCCTAGAGGCCTGCCTCTGGGCTCCCCGTCATTAAGCCAGCGCACGGCATATGAAAAATGAAACTTAAATAAAAGCCCTACCGCACTCACACACGCAGACATATTGGCGGTTCAGGGCTCACACCCATTCAATCAGGACAGGACTGGTCCCTGGCGACGGGCAGCCAGGGAGTTTCTCCGTTCCACACTGGACCTGGGCCAAAACATTGATTTCCCAAGACTTTTCAGGCACACAAAATTAATTACCTAACCTAAAAACGCAGCCCAGAAGGCAGGCAAAACATCGAGCGGCAACCGGCAAAACGGAAAGCGGAAAACAGCACACGAAAGAAAGAAAATTATGTAAGCCAGGACCAGACAAGCACAAAATTGCCAAGCGACTCTGCCCTTGCAACTCGTCTCTTCTCGGCCTCTCCGATGCTGATAGATTTTTCCCTCTCGACTTTTTCTAGCTGGTAGCTGGTTTTGGTTCTGGTTCGGTGCCGCAATGGGTTCGGTTCGGTTTGATTTGCTTTGCTTTGGTTTGGTTTTTCTGCTGACTCATTTGGGCATGACAACGACAACAAAATGAATGATATCGAAAATCGAAATCAATAAATGAAATTGGTCAAATCAATTTGGCAACAATTGCAATTTCGTGAATGGGCATCAGGCACCAGAAAGAAACTGGAGCACAAAATTTGATTAAAGTTTACCCCGACTTTCTTTCGCGAATGAGCATGAAAAAGGCGCTTCGCTTGCATTTGGAGCAAGGAAAAAGGAAAAACTACCAGTATAAATATGCTGTGGTATAAAGATTGGAAAGAAAAAAGGCTTATTTGAATGCCAAATTTGTGTTGGTTAAATAAAATGCAAGTTCTGGGAAATGTCTTGGTAAATTTTTAATTTATATGCTGGAAAATTCTAACATTTCGTTAAAATATATGAAATATTTCTACAATAATATATATATATATTGCTGGCTAGCTTTATTAAAGGAGCAATATTCGTGTAAAATAAAAATGAGAGAAAGTTCTGCTCGTAATTAAAATCCAAAAAAATCCCTTAAAGTCTCTTTCTCACCTTCATTTACAGATAGCAGAGCGATGATAACAAAGAGCATGCTGAGCATTATCAGCGACCTTTGACGGCCTCTGCAGTCCACGAAGTGTCTCCTGTTGCTGCTGCTGCTGCTGCTGCTGTTGTTGTGGTGGCTGTTGTTGGTGGAGATGTTGCTGATGAGTGGATTGGTGTTTCCCCTGCCAGTGCCACTACCGCAACCACTGTCCCTGGCTGTGCTGCTGCTGCTGTTGCAGCTGCCTGGCCAAAGCCTGGTGCAATCTGTGCTGATTTCTGGTGGGTCCGAGTGCTGTTGATCTCGTTCTTGTCGTTGTCTCCTGGCTGTGGATGTGGCAAGCGTTGCTGTTGCAGATGTTGCCGTTTCTCGTTGCTTTAAATTCGTTCGTTGCTTCTGCTGCTGCTGCCTCTCCTTCTGCTGGCGCATTTCCATTTGAAAAGTGGCCATAATATTTCACTTGTGCGCCCTCCCACGCTCTATCTCTCTGAGTATTTTTTCCTTGGGCGGGGGGTTGGGTGGCAGGGTGTTTTGAACCTATTTGAAAATGTGTTGCCGCAATAACTGTGGGGCGTGGCTGGGAGCGGCCTGATTAGCGCCTGCCATCATCCCGCCGCGATGCGTGAAATTGCCGCAACGAACAACAAAAACGAAACTAAAATCGCTTGTACGTATTTCTTTTTTCTTGACGGCCTATTCCGCTGGGGCCGCTGTAGTTTTCCCTTTGGCTAGTTAACTACTTTGCATTTGTTCTGCTCGACAGATGCTGACAAATCGCTGCCATTTTTCCAGCGATTTATATTCTGTTTAATTTCGGCTCGAACACAGTTCCAGCTGGCCGGAATATCACTTCATCTTCATTAGCCCTGGGGCCTGCTTCGGACCAGCATCAGAATGGCTTGGCGATTGGTTTGGAGCACTTTTCCGCTGCCTGAAAGAAAGAGCAGAAACGGGAATACAGTTTTGGGGGGCCGTTAAAAATGTTTGGAATTTCATTAAAAATTCAAACGTCAATGTCGAAATAAATGGAAATTTGTGTGTATGAGTGTGCCGGCACGTGCTGCCTACCCTGTCCCACCCCCCAGGTGGAGTAGGGCACAAGGACAGATATTTTTTCTTATATATATTATCTGGCAGCGCGTGGCTCCGTCGTCTTCTTCTTGGATTGGCTGTGTTTGCTTTATGAATGTTTTTTTTTCTGTAACTGGCGACGACAACAGTTTTCCCCCCCACACCCAGCAGCGACCCCAAAAGGAATATTTCGGAAATTCGTGAGTATAAAACAGAAAACAAAAAAATTCGCGCTGCGTTGGCAAATATCGTAATGTGATTTTTATTAAAGTCAACAGAATAATAAATTAAATGCGCCCAAAGCGGAATTCTGGAATTTCTAATTTGCCAAGATATCCAGCCGGATAGCCAGCTAGCCGGACAGTTGGTCCGTTGTCCATTGCAATGGAAATTCCTTAGTTGATTAGGAGCAAACAAAAAAATACACATAAATATATATTCGTCTAGGCAACAATTTCTAACAAGCGAATTTACTGGCGAATGTTGGCATAAAGCAGAGCTACAAATTCTACACACAAATTAAAATCAAATATTTTGAAAGCCAGAAATAAACAATTCTATTTTGTGATGGCCTGCAGCAGCTCTTCCCTCTGCTCCTGGACAAACCTCAGTAGGAAATGGGTCAAAATGTATATGAAGTAATGATGATAAAATTACTGGACTAATCTATCTACAAATATTCTTTCAAACAAAAAACCACATTAACAACTAAATAAAGAATCTGCGAAAAGTAATCTTTCAGCAATTTGTGAAAATTTTGCTGTCTATTCCTCGCGATCATCCAACAGGGCAAACTTTAATCTGTCCCCAGACCCAGAGAGAACTCTCCGTATTCCGTACAATTCAACATTCATTCGGTGTACCCAAGGGAGCACTTTCATTCCATTTTCCAAAAAAACTTTTGCACTAATGTCTCCCTATGCTGATCGCATTATGTCTATTTACAAGTTTCATTATTCATTTTCGCCTGCATCCTCAACAGTGTATGGGTGTCAATGGGACGAAGGCGATGTGGATATATACAATGTGCCTGACAGCATCCGAAATAATGGCACATAAAGCGCTAAACAAAAGCCGAAACAACGCAGCAAAAAGTGAACGAAGGGGAATAAAACAGAACAGAACAGAACAAAACTCTCGCTCGTCAGAGTGTAAGTTACAGCAAAAGTTTCATTTAAAACTGTCGAGCTCTGAGCTGCCGCCTCCCCACAAACTGGCAACATTTGGGGAAAGTTTTCACCCTGCCCCACCCACCCATTCCTTTGCAACACTTTAAAAAGTTCCAGAGAGAGAGAGAGAGGGAGAGAGAGAAAAAAGAACGCCCAGCAGCGCATGGGGTGCATGGGGTACGTACGGCTACGGGAAAAGTCATCAAGTGCAATGTCAGAGCTTGACAAAATATGCAGCCTCCCAGCCCCAGCCCCAGGGCCAGTGGCAGTGCCAGTTCCAGTTCCAGCGCCTGTCTCCGCACCCCTTCCAAGTGCCGTGGCGAGTGTCAATGCGTGGCAAATCCAAGAGAAATGTGCCACAAAACTTTTCCATCCAACAATGGCCGCCGCTGCGGACCGCCGGGCTCGCAAGGAAAACTGTCGAAAAGTGGCATAGGAAAAGCTTCAAGGTGATGGCTGCAGTAATATTTCTTCGGCAGGTTTTTCTTGCTTTTGTTGCTGGTTAGTTTTAATTAGTGCCAAGGTCCGTCCGTCCGTCCGGGGGGGACGGGTGCCGAGGGTTAAGCACGTCACGGATGATGGCCGGGCATTAAGTTGTGAGTGGCAGGGCGTGACCGGCTAACCAGGCCACCCACAGCCACTTCAGCTCAGCCCAGCCCAGTCCAGTCCAAGTCCCATCCCCTCCATGCATAATTAAAGCTCGACGTCTCATTATAATTTCCATTAAAAAGTGAGTGCCCACCCCACCCACTCGGAGCCACCACAAGGATGAGTTTAATATTTAACACCGCCCCTTAAAAAAGTATTGTCCGATATCGAGTTGGCGCTGCAATGCCTTCAATTGACATTTAAAGTGACAGCTGTCAAACAGCACCGAGCTGCGCCCGCTATTCCCGTAGCACCGTGGCGCTCCTTTCTGATTAATGGAATATGCATGACCACTGTACATAATTATGTTTGATTAACACTCACCCCCCAAAGCAGTGGACAGCTATATAAATTGTTGCTTTTCCCGTAATTATGTGTGTATGTCTACCTTTAGATGGCATCCCAATCCCCCCTGCCCTTTGCATTGTGCTTAACAATTTGCTTTCTTTTGTTTGCTTTTGATTTCCTGCTATTTGTTAAATATTTGCATAATATTCCATTCATTCCAAGCAGAACAAAAAAAAAATATTATACAAATTTAAATTAAATAAATGTGTCAATGGTAAGGCAAACACAAAGAATATTTTGCGTTGCATGAAATATCCGTGTATATTGTGCAAAGTTAATGCACAAAAATAAAAAAATATATAAAATGCTGTAAGCTGATTAAAATTGAAACAAGAATAATAGATCAATTTGGGTCAGAAAAACCACCGCGAATATCCTTGGACGTAATAATAAACGTAATTTTAAAGTATTTAGTCGCTCGATTTGATTACTTAATTTGCATGACCATAATATGCACATACAAATTGCCTGTGCAGGTTATACGCACAAAGTTAATATATTTTATTCTATTACTACACGTAAATAATACTCAGGATATTATCTAACCACTCCATCTAAAAATTAGCAGAGTCTTAAATTGGTCTACAGTTACAATTACCAGAATGTGGCTCGCAATAATAATTGATTTGCTATGCATATTTCATATAGCAAGAAAATAGATTCTAGAAAAACATTCCGACTTAATTTGATAGCTAAAAAAAAAACAGAAATAATACGCTGGTTGATACAAAAAGAAATATGCTTAAATAACATTCCATAATTTCAGTAAAATAATACATCCGTGTGTATATATTGGATATTATACATATGCGAAAAAATACATAAATTCCAATAAAATATTGATGATTAGTCCGGAACCACGGAAAGAAACACAAACAAAGCCTGAAATATTTCCAAATTTATTTACACTTGAGCTGGGGTTTAATTTTCATCGTGCTCCGTGGTGTCAATATGGAATCAGCAAAGGCCTTTGTCTGCGTCGTCCCACTTTAATGCTGCTGCTGCTCTCGTTTCATTTGTTTGTGGGACACTCGACTCTCACACACATTTTCTACCACATGCCCGTTTGTATATGTATATGTTAAAGTAAGCTTATGAATTTCATTGGGGGACTTAAGCTGATTTGGGGCAGACAAGAGGAGTCAAGGCAATGGAAAAGGTTAAGTACAATAAAAATAATTTATGAATTTGGGTAACTTTTTCGAGCAGAAATTTCCATTTCACGAAATAAGGTTTTGACCTTGTTGAAACAAAGTGTAAATACAATTTATGGAGACAGAATAAAAGAACGAGAATAAAATATATATCAGTAAATAAATCTGAATCCTTCTAGCCAAAAGCCTCGTTGGCTATGAGGAAAGCTAATTGGTTTAATTCGAGTGCAATATAACTAATTTGAGAGGCTGCTTCTCCATCTATGGAGTCGATCAGGGACAGAAATTTCACAGAAATCTTTAAGCATTTTTACTTTGGTGGGTTTGTAAATCTCTTCAGACTCTCTAGGAATTTTTCTTAGAGATTTCTGTCTTCAATCAATAAGTATCTAGTGAAGTATAATAGAAAAACCCTCAAAGTTTTCAAATGCTAGCTTTTTAGGGCTCACATCTACATCCCAACTCGTACAAAATTTTGTAGTCCCCAAAAACTGTTGCAGTTAAAGTACATTGCATGTCCCTTCTATCTTCTAATGAACGTCTAGATGGCTAGACTAGATAAGCACAGCAAGGAAAGAGCTCCTTGACGATTTATATGGCAGATATGTTAATTCCGTTTTCTTTTTGTAATCCCATTCTCCATCCTTCGTTCATTGTAATTTCCGGAACCTCAAAAAGACTACCCCATTCAATCCTTCTTTTCCTGGCAATGTTTATTTTCTTATGGTGCGACTATCGGACTGTTTGCTGTTCTACTCTTTCATGAATCCTTTGTGTTCTGTCTGTTTTGGGGGCATATGGAATTTCCAATTACCAACTCTTTTCTTGACACATCGCCACAATAACCCGGATGCGGATCCATTCAATAACCCTTTTCCAGCGAACTGACAATAAGTTGATTGACCCATCCCACCTGTATAGTGCGCCTCGGGTGCATATTTATCCATTAGGCATTTCCTAATTATATCATAATTAAATTGAGATCCACAAGCGATAACCAGCGAAGAACACCCGCTGACCAATGGCCGCATGGATGCCGAGACCACAACAAAGTTAAATAAAAACCTAACAATAAATAAATACAACAATGAGCCCAGCCCATCGCTGCCCACCCGTTGCTTGCGCTCCACGCAGCCACCCCTAGACCACCAAAACCACCCAAAACATGAAGCCTCACACCCCACCCCACCCCACACCACTCACCCCACAACCACTTCCGAACAATGACACAATTGTGTGGGATTTTTTGTTCGTACTTATCGTATGCTCGTATGCTATTTGGGGGGCATTACACGATTATCGGTGTTAACTAGACAATAAAATAAGAAATTATCGGATAATTAGCTCATAAAATTAATCGGTTTTACCTTTCCTCTTCCTCGATTGCTATTCGATTGTTGTCTGTTTGATTGTTGATTTTGTGGTTTCGAGCCTTGTCTCGTTGTCTCTGCGGCTAGCTGCTTGGCTGATTGATTGAATTTTAATTGGTTTTGTTGTTTACTGAAAAGTTTTGCAGCTGCAAGCTGACAATTTACCAGTTTCTGTCTGCCACAATTA